CGGACGGCGGGATGGGGGTCACCGACAGCCCCCTCCGTGCCGTGCAGCCCCCGGCCAGGTGTGTGCACGTTGCACGTGTGAGGGTGCGCGTGCGTGAGTGTATCGGGGCGCGCGCACCCCGCGTCCGCCCCCGACCGGGGATTCCCCCTCGGAAATGGGTCGGCGCCAGTGGCTCCCGGGAGAAGTTGAGCGCGGCTGCTGCACTCCAGCCACGTCCGGGAGGACAGGCCTGGGAGACCGCGCGTCCAGATGCGTTCGCGGTTAGAGAGGGGCCTACCCTCCTCCGGGGCTGGGCTCTGGCTCCCCGGTGTGCCACGACCTTGATTTGGATCTAGATCTGAAGGGTCCAGGGATCTTTAGAGGCTTAGCTACCAGGTGGAAAGAACGGGTTTTGTTCCGAGGATTTATGCGGTTATTCAGTGGACTGTGAGGCGGCAGCATCTGCAGACGCTGCCAGTATTCTGTAAGGGCTGCTGGATTCCTCCAGATTTGTGTAGGTTCTACCCGAACTCCCACCCCCAAAAACAAGAGCCTTTAAAAAGCCAATCTATGTGCTTCTATTTTTAGAAACTAGATGATGGACATTTAAACAACTCCTTGGGCTCTCCAGTGCAAGCCGACGTGTACTTCCCACGACTGGTAAATGATTTTTTTTTTCTGGGCTCTGTGTCTCTGCGGGTACCCTCTTCCTTTCTAATTGCATTTTCTAATGGGTCAGGTCCTCCGGATCTGAGAGCTTGGCTCTTCCCTTGCAGGCTGTAAACTTCCTGTTTCCCCTTGCAGATAGTTCCATTTTGTGGTCATATTAAAGGTGGCATGAGACCAGGCAAGAAGGTGTTAGTAATGGGCATCGTTGACCTCAACCCTGAGAGGTAAGGCAAAGCTATCAGGCAGTGACAAGGCCCTGCCCCCTCCTATGCACTGCTCCTCCTCTTCCTCTCCCTGTGGCCAGTGTTGCTAGTTGGAAGTGCCAAGAAAGTACCATGTTCCCATGAAAAGAATGTGTATGAATCCCAGCCATCATTTCTCCAGACAGCTATTTATATCTAGAGATTATAAATATAGGCCCACATCATTTTTTCTTTGACCCTTAGGGAGGCAAAGAAAGGACTTTGTTTTTTTTGTAGTTTTAAAACATGGTGCTTGGAGTGAGAACTATCAATATAAATGAAAACCAGATTTACAAAATATCATTTCCCCTGATCAGTTTTGAGGGCTGTGTTTGAGAATTCTGAAATGGATTAAGATAAAAGATGTGTGAATGGTTTGAGGTATCTGAAATCCCTAATGTGAGTCATTTTCAACTCCACCAGAGCCTCCTTTATGTAACAAAATAACTGGTTTGATTATAATCCCACTTCTCCATACCTAGTCTGACCTGGGTAAAGAGTAGTGTCCCATGAAAAGTAGATAAATCCCGAGAAGGAGAAAATGTGGGATCCTGGGTCATTGTTAAATGTTGTTATGTCCAACCTGGAATAAATGAGACGATTTTCTTACCAGTTTTGCCATCAGCTTGACCTGTGGTGACTCAGAAGATCCTCCAGCTGATGTGGCAATTGAACTCAAAGCTGTGTTCACAGACCGGCAGCTACTCAGAAATTCTTGTATATCTGGCGAAAGGGGCGAAGAACAATCAGCGATCCCTTACTTTCCATTCATCCCAGACCAGCCATTCAGGGTGAGTACCTCGAGTGCTCCAGCTCCAGCCCCTGGCAGGGTGAGGATGTTTTCCTCCTCCAGTGTTGCCAAAGACGCTTTAAGCAGCCAGAATTCCTGCATGTCCAGGAAATTTGTCACCCGATGGTGAAAAAAGATCAAAAGAACTGTGTGCTGATTTGAATTAATACTCGCCAATGTAGCTCTTAGCTAATACATTTAGTAAGTAAATCCATATTTATGTGTCCTGATTGTTAAGAATACTCTTCTATGTAGTGCTTCACGTAGTATTAAGTATATAATAGATACCTATCCCAAAAATAGTTGATTGATTAATAAATATGAGTTGTCCTCATTTTTTTCTCAACTTTTAAGAAGCACTAAATCTTATTAGTTATAACTCTTTAAAGAATATAGTGATTGGTATTTCAAGGCCTGGCTATGTCTGTGTTTCCCCCTATGGATTAAGTAGCCTCAGTCCGTGTCTTTGTCACAGTCTGTGTGGCTGACAAATCTTTCCCTTGGAGCTGGGTGAGTACAGATTTGCTCCTCACTATCTAGCAAGCCGGTAGCTCAGCCCTAACTTCCCATCCAATTAAGATGCATTAGCAGCACCTTCCTCTATGAAGGACAACACCAAGTAAGAGATGCAAGTCAGTAATGTGTCAAGAAAGGACTTACTAAAATGTGAGACCTGCTGATGAAGTTGTCCCCATTATACCTTGTTAACAAAAATCACAATAATGACAACTCAGTTGAAAGCTCTATGTGGCATATACTCCTAACAAAGCAGAACTACCTACCTTTGCTGTTCATCTAGAAATTTATAAGGGCCTTATGAAGAAGTAATTATGTTGTGGGGGAAACATAAGAATCCATGACTTTTCATATCAGTGGTCGCATTGAGATTGTTGCCCTTCTAATCATAGTCTGGGAAAGGCACCCCCACCCATGATCCCTGCCCTTCCCTTTCTCTAAAATGGTAATGACCCCTTCGGCTTACTCTTGACTGTGACAGTTTCTTAATTATGAATCTTAATGCATAGCTCAGGTGTGTGAGTAAGCAGAGCTCCTGACTGCCAAGAGGAATATAATGCTTCCCAACAACAAAATTGAAATGCTGTTGGCCCTCCTTGGTGACATAAGTTTGGTAATAATACGAATTAAATGTGACTAACATCACATATGGAGTCTCTCCTTGCATGGTGAATACCAATGCTTTTAATAAATACATGGCATAGAACCAATGATTAAACTCCATGGTGAATTGCTTAAGGAAGAGAGGAAGAAAGACCTTTTACCATATGGAATCAGTATTTCTGTTTGTCTTAACAAAGCCTTGTTAATTATACATCCTTGGTCCAGTGGTAATTACTCTGTAACCTCTTTGCTTTAGTGTTTACCAGGTTGGAGGGGCTAGACCATTATTACATGCTACTAATGCCTACCAGTTCTGCCTTAGGAGAGGCTCCTCTGAAGGTGGGATAGATAGCTTGTTCAGGGGGAGGACAGTGGAGGCATTAAGTGCCATATCAATAAAGCTATGCTCTCTGGAGTGTTAAAGCATGAGCAATTTTAAATCTTTAAAGGATATTAAATAGTGTAGAGCAGTGGTTGACAAAGTGTGTTCCTCCTTCCAGCAAAAACAGCATCCCCTTGGAACTTGGTGGAAATGTAGATTTTTTTTAGAAATCACATTAGACCTCCTAAAATGAAAATTTTGGAGGTGGCGCCCAGCAATCTGTGTTCTAACAAACGTTTTGTATTGTATTCTGATGCACTCCAACATGTGAGAACCACTGAAGATGATGCCGTTCTTTCTCTAAAGCAGCGGTTCTCAACCTGTGGGTCGCGATGCCTTTGGGGGTCGAACGACCCTTTCACGGGAGTCGCCTAAGACCATCAGAAAACACATATATAATTACATATTTTTTTGTGATTAGTCACTATGCTTTAATCATGTTCAATTTGTAACAATGAAATCGGAGGTCACCACAACATAAGGAACTGTATTAAGGGGTCGCGGCATTAGGAAGGTTGAGAACCACTGCCCTAAAGTGCAAGACTGTCTGTTTCTTTTCCCTAACAGGGTTCATTGAAATTGGGAACCGAGATTGATTATTCTGTTTCTTCCAGGTGGAAATTCTCTGCGAGCACCCACGTTTCAGAGTGTTTGTGGATGGACATCAACTTTTTGATTTTTACCACCGCGTTCAAACGTTATCTGCAATTGACACCATAAAGATAAACGGGGACCTCCAGATCACTAAGCTTGGCTGATGTTGTTTCAGCCACGTCCATTTCAAATCAGATCAGGTGCCACAACTATCTGACTGTTGGTCTGGAAGAAGTGTCTTAACAACATCCGGAGACTTAAAAAGAAAACAAAAGCAAAAGGCAAGCTTCCCTGTCTCTTGGCAGTTGAAAACCCAAATGACAACTTCATCCAAGGTTTGCCCTTAGGAAGCTGTCGGAACAAAGACACCGCGCCATTATTCCCAGAACAAAGTAGTAACATTTATGCTGGATTTTATTCAGACCTAAACTGAAATGGATTTGTGATGATTTGTGATTTGGTAGCGAGTTATTCATCTTTTCAAAGCAAGGTGATGTTTAGAAACAAAAAGTGCTAAAGACTTAACAACAAAGACGGTACACCGAAATCAACTCATTTCTGCACTGAAGTGGAATTGCGTAGCACAACCAACATTTTAGTCAGGGTATTAACATAGAATGTAGGTTGTTCAAGGTTTGTGTGGGTTTTTTTTGTTTTGGGGGGTTTTGTGTTTTTTTTTATTTTGTTTTGGTTTTTTTTGCACAGGATAATGTTAATTCAGATTTTTAAAGCTTTCTCATATTTATTTATGCTCAACATATGTATTAGAAAATGATTAATATCTCAAGAACAACAAGTTAGGAACTTTTGAATGTACAAATATCTTAGGTCCAAGGGGGGAAAGGTACATATTACAATCATGTAACAGGTGAATTTCTACCTTAAACAATTGAGTCATATCCTCCAGACCCCTATATTTAGGATCTCTTGATATAAATTGCTGTAAGTGCTTTTGGAAAGACTGCAACATTTTGGTAAAACTGGTTTTGGAGTTATTGACAATTCATGTAAAATTCTATTTACATCGCTTTTTCTCCTTCCTGTGAATTAACACAGTATTGGCTTCCTTAAGACTGCCTAGCTACTTTTTCCTAGATTTACATAATGGCTCCTTAAGTTGCTATTAAACTAATGGACAACAGATAAGAGGTGATTGCATAGACAGTTTTTAAATGACTATTATATAAACTTTTAAGGGTATAATATGAAAATGATTCTGGAATGCAATGTAAAGCAGGAGCCGCTGGCCCCAAATAACTTACTTGCAAATAATTTATATCACCTTCAGCTATTAGCTCATTGCATCCCTTTTATTACATGGCCCTCACCGGCATCCCCAAGCAATGCCTTTGTAGCTGCAGAGTAGAGGACGGTTCCTGCTTTGTTGGCTCTGCTGAGATATTAGGATAAGACAGGATCCAGATTAGGAAATGATCCAATTAGCTTATCTGAAAGGTTAACTCCCAGAACTCCAGGTCTTTGAGTCCAACCAATAGGACGCATGCTTCCCGATTAAGCTGTAGGAGTCTCCCTGCACTTGTGGAACTGATCAAACAGCAGTGCCTCTCCAGGAGGAGCCTGCACTACCATCAATGTCATCGAGAGGCAAGGGATAGTTGGCGTCCTGGGTGCTGAATTTCCCAAACCCATTGGGCCCTGGAGAGAAGGACCTTTGGCATTGCTTGATCAGGTAGAATGGGGTGTGCTAGGGTGGGGGTGTATTTATGTATAATTTAGGTTTTGTTTGTACAGCATACCACGTCTTGTTATGACACGTCCTTGTCCTGCTTTGCTTTTGAGTTTTTCTTACACAACATGCAGAGGCACTGAAGTGGCCACGTCATTTCCAGGTGTCGAGAATGTAGACAGTGTTTCAGTACCAAAGTCTAAGAAAAAGAAAACTAAAATGGTGACTTTTTTATAGACGATGTATTTGGATTCTTCTAACCTTTGAAACTGTGTAGCACAGTTCCACTGTGTTATATAAGAAGATCCTTCACCCAACAAGACTGGCTGAGCATTGAAAAGCTGTATGGACCCGCTGACTTAATCAGCCACGAGGGCTGCCTGTGGCTCCAGGTATTTTCAAGCCTGTGATTAATTTCTCATGGTCCTGAAGGATATGTGTTGGGTTTTTATTCTCCTTGTGGTGGAAGAACCCACGGGAGGTTTCCTTTGAGTGGCCATCCGTTCCCACCCACTGCATAATTCAGCAGAAACCAGAGGCGCTGGGAGTGTAACTGATTGGAGTGGACACTGTACTCTCTACCTGTCGGCTAACTGATTAGCAGCCAAGCCCTTAGGCAGTGTAATGTAAAGACAGGCTGTTAACCTTTCGTTTCTCTCTGAGGTTTTGGTTAAGCCTATTGGAATTAAT